GGGGCTCAGAGGGCAGCCCGGCCCCTCCCCTCATCACCCAGAGCAGGTGGGGTCAGAGATCTACCTGGAAGATCAAGGCAAGGCCCTGGGGTGGTAGGAGAGGCCCAAGTGGGGTAGCACCATGGCCATGGTCTGTGAGTCCAGCCATACTTGGAGCGGGTTGGGAGGGGGGGTGGTGCAGAGCCCTAGGCTGGGGCCTAGTGGGCACCTCTCCCCTCTATGCCTCAGTTTCCTCCTCCATAAATGGGGAGGGGGTGACGGGCATGATCCCCAAGCCCTCTGGTTCTAAACGGCTCCCATATCCCATGACCTGATATGGGCAATGAATGCAACTGTCCTGGAGACCACGGGGTCTGCTGGAAGTGACCTTTCCCTCTTCCCAAGTTCATGTTGCCCTTTAACTGTGCACTACCCTCACAGGCCTCACTCTTGGCCTCTGCTTCCAGTTAGTTCTACGTGTGTATTTCCGCCGGGAGTCCCTGCACATAAGCAGGTGGATCTAGCCCTGACAAATGGCCTCGAGGTGCCAGGCCAGGGCTCAGCACTGACATCCATGATCTCACTGAACCTGCTTGACACCCCTTGGAGGTGGCTCCTGCTACCCCAGGTGACCTGTCCCTGTGTGCCCAGAACAGTCCTGTTGCTGTCTGTTGTCCCTGCATAAGTATTAACAACTTCCTCTTTCATTCTTAAAAGTGTCCTTGTTTTCAACTAAATGCAGTGTCGTACCCCGGACAAATCCTGCAGCAGAAAAAGGAGATTGGTGGAAAAACTGGTGAAATCCAATTAAAATCTCTAGTTAAGAGTGACTTACTAATGTTACTTTCTAAGTTTTGACAAATGCAGGGTGGTTGCATAAGATGTTAACAGGGGAAGCGGAGTGAAAAGTATTTCTGTTTCTTCGCTATCTTCGCAACTTTTCTGTAAAACTAAAATTTTACTTAAAAGCGTTTTGGCCCAGCTAATAAGTTAGCAGAGCACCCTAATTATAATGCCCAGCTCAGAAACGAGGAAGTGGAGGTTCAGAGAGGTTAAGTGCCTTGCCTGAGGTCACACAGCGGAGAGGCCAACTCCCGAGCCAGGCTCCGCTGCTTCCCAAAGCTCCACCCAATGGCCTCAGATGAGCCTCCCGAGAGCCCCATTCACGGTGCAGAAACTGAAGTTCAGGGTGGTGGGGCGGTGACATCACAGGGACGTGAACCCAGGTCCCAGTTCATAGCATGCCCTGCCCACAGCACTGTGGGTTTCCCTGGACCAAATGTACAGGTTGTCTCTGCCTCCCCAAGGGTGGGCACCTCGTGAGGGCTCAGTGAAGGAACAGAGCCCTCCCCCCCCTAGGTGTTCCTTTGGGGTCACGGACCCCTCAGGGAATCTGCTCACACATCCGCGTATGTGCACAAAGTGTGGGGGCCTGGATGGAAGCCTGGCTCCCCCCGGCTTGGCCAGCCACCCTGCCCACCTCCTCCACCAACAGGCTCTGGAGCTCCCGCTGGCAGTCCTTCATGCGCTGCCGGTCGGCGCTGTCCACCACCCAGATGAGGCCGTCGGTGCTCTCAAAGTAGTTCCGCCAGTAGGACCGCAGGGACTTCTGGCCGCCCACATCCCAGATGTTCAGCTTGAATCTGGGCGGGAATGGGGTGGCCAGAGGGTCAGCCTGGCCCCTCACCCGCCCTCCCTGCCCTACTCTGGGCCAGCCCGCTGCAGGGCCCCCACTCACCCCCGGTGTTCCAGGGTCTTAATGTTGAAGCCCAGTGTCGGGGAGATGGTGTCGATGTCTTCCCCGTTGAACTTCTTGAGGATGGTTGTTTTGCCAGCATTGTCCAGGCCTCTGGGGCACACCAGGTTAAGGAGAAGTCCCCGTGCTCTGCCCAGGGTGGTGACATCACCGTCGTGCCCCTCTTTTAGGGGACCAATGGTTTCCCGCCACGTATCAAATGAGTTGAGCACGTGCCTGAGCCCCAAGTTATCGGCCCGTGAGAAATGGGAAAGTATCAAGAAATAAAGATTTTATCATCTCGTCCTGACCGAAGATTCCTTCATTCGCTCTACAATATTTATTGAATACTGACTATGTGCCGGGCCCTCCTCTGGTGCTGGGGGTGGGTACCCCAGAGTCAAAGTCCCCACCCTGTGCACCTTCTAGTCCAGTGTAGAGACAGGCGACAGAGTGCAAACAAATGAGACTCAAGGTACCGTCAGCTCCTGGTGACTAAGGAATACAGCTAAGAGGCTTTCGGGGAGGGCCTTTGCAGGAGCTTCCTTTAGCTCAGGCACCCCTCTCGGGGTCTTGGGCTGAGGCCCAAACGATAAGAAGCCAGCTTTCCAAAGGGCTAAGGGAAGAGCATTCTAGGTAGAGGGAACAGCAGGAGCAAATATCTGGGGGTAGCCAGCCTCACCTTTCTGTTTCTGGAATATTCCAAACCCTCTGCTGCTGAGTGCGCAAACAAATGGGAACCACCCTCCTCTGTCCTTCCAACGTTCGAGGGGGGGCTTGCAGCTGGGAGCGGGCCCAGGCGACTCAAACCAGTGGAAGGAGGGGGAACCAAGAAGCTCTCCTGAGACCCAGCCTTCACCTCTGATTATCCAACTCCAACTCCATCATCCACTGGATCATTCCCATCAGCAGACAAGCTGGTGTCTCTCCCACCTTAGGAGAAGCAAACGTCACCCTCTCTTGATCCCTTCTCCCTCTTATTCCTTTACTTCCTTCCCTTGACAGCAAATCTTCTCAAAACCATTGTTCGTAAGCACCCTCTCCAATTTCTGCCTTCCTGCTCGTCCTTGAGGCTTTTGCTGCCACTGCTTCCCTGAAACAGCTCTTACCAAGGTACCTAAAGACCTCGTGTTCTTCTCCTTCTGGGCAGTAACCAGGCCTCGTCTTCCCGCACCATCAGCAGCACCTGACACAGTGGCCTGCCCCCTCCTCCACTGCCTCACCTGGTTCTCATCGCCCTGACCTCTTATCTAGGTAAGCTCGGTCCTTTCCTCTGTCCACACTCATCCCTTACAGCTCTCACCCAGGACCATGGCTTCAGATACCATCTGGTTTTTTTTTCTTTTTTAAGCTTATTTTAATTTTAAGAGCACATGCCAAAAAAAAAAAAAAAAAAAAAAAAAAAAAAAAGCACATGCACAAGCAGGGAAGGGACAGAGAGAGAGAGGGAGAGAATCCCAAGCAGGCTCTGTACTGCCAGTGCAGAGCCTGATGTGGGGCTCGAACCCAGGAACCAAGAGATCGTGACCTGAGCCCAAATCGAGAGCCGGAAGCTCAATCGACTGAGCCACCCAGGTGCCCCGCAAATACCACCTTTATGCTAATGACTCCTAAAAGTACACATCCCACCCAGCTGCTCCCCTGGACTCAGTCCCTCTCTTCAGCTGCCCATCTGGCACTTAGAGGATGTCTCAGAGGCATCTTCTGTGGCTAAACCTGAGATCTCCTCTTTCTGAACCTGCTCCTTGCCCCCCTTCCCCATCTCAGCAAGTGGTTCCTCATTCTTCGAACCGCTCTGGCCAGAAACCTCAGAGTCAGGCTTGACTTGGCTCTCCCTCTCACTTTGTGCCCAATCCAGGAGCGATTCCTGCTGGGCCTGTAGGCAAAATGTTCCCCATCTTCCATCACCTCCCTGCTTCCACCCTGATCCAAGCCACCATCCTATCTCGCCTGTGGCGGGGCAATGGCACACCTAACCTGAGATCATGCTTCCTCTCCACACTTCTCATCGAAAGGAAAAGCCAAAAACCAAAAGGCTCTTCAGTCCCCTCTGTCTTCATCTCGTAATCTAGTAATCACTCTCCAGCCACACTGCCCTCCTTGACATTCTTTTGAACACACCCGTTGAGTTCCTCCTTCCAGACCTTTGCGCTCGTTCCTTTTGCATCAACAAATTTCCCTAGATATCCACGTGATTCAGTCCTCGCCGCCTCACCTTTACTCCACTGTCAATTTCTCCATTGTGGCCTTCATTGACCACTTTATTTAAACTGCATTTTTCCCCCCATACGTCCTATACAGCTTACCTATTTGCTTTCTCCCCACAGCATTACGGACCGTCCAAGACGGTGGGGTTTGGTTTTGCTGTTTTACCCCAGCCCCTAGGAGAGTGCCTAGTATATAGTAGGCACTCAGTAAATATTTAATTGGATGGGTGGATTCTCGGCGCCTTTCTAAAAGAGAGCTTTTTAAAAGAGACATGATGTGACTATTATAGTTATTTGTACACTTAAATGTCTTTTCTCCCCTGCTAGGGGAGCTCTGGGTGAAACCCGCCCAGCTCCGGGATCGCGGAGTCCCGACGCGGCCAGGATAAGAGGGGGCAGAAGGCGTGCAGGCGCCTGTTAACGGGACTCGGAAGGTCGGCGGGGCCCTCGGGCCTACACGCAGTCAGCCTGGGGAGGGGACGGGAGATAACGACCGGCCGCGGGGCCACACAGACGGGCAGTTGGACACAGGGATGAAAACAACCCGAGGCGTCTACACCCGCCTCCCCCCCCCGCCAAAGCGAGGGCGGGGCCCGCACGCCCCCGGGATTCCGACCTTGAGGGCGGGGCCGGGGTCTGGCACCCTCGGACAGGGGAGGAAGGTCAGAGCCAGGGAGGACAGCGGCCTCACGCTCGGGCCAGACCGACGGGTGGTGGCATCCGAGTCGCCTCCGGCCCTCCTTCCCGCCCCCTGCATAGGGATATCTAGTCTAGCCGCTGCGCCTGTAGGCCCTCACCTTTGGCATTGGCAACGGAGACCCCCCGCCCCGAGCCGGTGGTACGACCTCCTCACGCCCCCCCACCCCGCTAGAGCGATTGGTAGGGCCCACGTGCGTGACGCACAATGGGCAGTTGGTACGCGCCGGCCGCGCACCCCGCGCCCGGTAGGGGGCGCCTGGCACCGCCCGCCCGGCGGGGCCCCAGCTACCCTCGCGGCTCCGGCGTCCAGGAGGATACAGCATGAGCAGTCGCAGCTCCCGCTCTTTCTGCTTCATCTTCTTCAGAATGGTCAGAAGCCCCATGGTCCCAGTAGCCCCCTCCCGGCCGCCGTTTCTTCCTAGTCCCGGGACCCCTCTCCCTGCTCCTATTGGCTATCACGCCCACCGACAGCGCAACCTATTGGTCGGCCTGTCGCTGGGTCCCGCCCTCGCTCCCACGTGACCGCGAAGCCGCCTGGCGGTGGGGCCGAGATGGTCCCTCTAGCGGTGCTAGGGGCTTCTGCGGGGCCACCTGCGTTAACCCTTCGCTTCCCGAGGGCTTGGGGGACGAGGGCACCGCCATTCCTTCTTCCCCAGGAACCCAGACTCGGCCAGGAACGGAAACCTGGATTGTATCTTGGCTGCACAGGGGGTAGGAATTGTGACTCAGGAGTCGGAATCGACAGCCCCAAGGATGTTGACAAGCTCGTCCGGGGGCCAGTGTAAGGCCCTGTTCCCCGGAAACATGATCCAGGTCCTGCTCATCTTAGGTCTCGGCATCATTCTAAACCTGCCAGTTACAGGGCCTCCCCTTTTCCCCGTCTCCTGGACTCGTAGAGGGTGGGCCGGGGATTCTTCGTCGCGGGCGAAAATGCCCCCTAGGGGCCGTTTCGAAATGTGCTGGAGCATTTTGGGCTTGTCCCAATTACAAGATATAGTTCCTGTTGTTTAGATGACACAAAGAGTTGTTCTGCCTAGGATGCCCATCATTTCTCCTTTGAGAAGCACTGGTCTTCATTTTGCCAGTGAGAATATTGAGACGCACACGATGGTTAGCACAATGACTGGCGTATGGTAGTTACTCAATAAATATTTGTTATTGAACGAATGACTGTCCCAAGAGTTTAGTTCTTTACCTTAGCGTTCAAGTCCTGAAGAAGTGAAGAAAATGAGGCCAGGGCCAGGCAAACTGTAAAGTCAGAAGGGTGAGCTAAGCTTATGGTCTTATTTTGAGCCCTTGCCCCATCCCACTGCAGGGTAAATGTGAGTGGGTAACAGAGTAGGCCCTGACTGGTGCTGGGGAGAGAACAGTCAGGCACAAGCTGAAAATAATGGCTGATTTCTGTGTGATTTGTTTATAAAGCTCGTCACCTTTTCTACTTCACTCTCCTGGCAACCCCGAGAGGTTTCTTTTTTGTAGATAGTGATAGTGAAGTCCAGAGAACTTAAGGAGCTGGGGCAGCACTTTAGCATTTTTTTTTTTTAATTTTTTTTTTTAACGTTTATTTATTTTTGAGACAGAGAGAGACACAGCATGTGGAGGCAGGGAGGAGGGCAGAGAGGGGAGAGGGGAAGGCACCCTGGGAGAATGTCGGAGGAAGCAGGCTCAGGCTCTGAGCCATCAGCCAGGAAGCCAGAAGCCATGGGAACTCGAACTTCGCCAGGCCTCTTGAGATAAATTGACCTGAGCGAAGTCAGGCGGCTTAACGACTGAGCCACCAAGCTGCAGCCCAGCATTTTAATATATATATATTTTAACGTTCACTTTTTTGAGGGCAGAACCTTACAGAGTGTGAGCAGGACAGGGACAGAGAGAGAGGGAGACACAGAATCCAAAGCAGGCTCCAGACTCTGAGCTGTCAACGCGAAACCCGACTTCGGGCTGCCGAACCTCTAGCTCAGATGTTCAAGCCTGGCGGTCGGATGCTTAACCGGCTGAGCCAACTTGGGCAGCGCTTTAAGCGCTCAGCGAATCGAGGGGCACCCGAGAGGGTAGCTCGGTCGGTTGGCTGACTGGCTGACGACTTGATCGCCAATCTCGCTGTCTGTGGGCGGCCCATGTGAGGCTCTGTGTGCTGGCTGGCTTCGAGCCTGGAAGCAGGCTCTGTGTAATGACTTCTCTACCTCCAATGCTCTGTCTCTCTGTCAAAAATAAATAAACTTTAAAAAATATATATGAAAAAAATAAACTCAGATCCGGTTGACATTAAAATGCACTGTTTTTCAGGGTCTCTCCATAGTGTTTGTCTAGAGAGGGAGAGGTCTGGAGCAAGCTTGAGCTTCCAGTCCTGCAGAAGAGGGTTGTGGACAGATGAGGGCTGGACAGAACAGGGTCCCTGGCTGAGCCCCCTTGGTCAGTACTGTTTTACCCTCCACCAAGCACACACAGGGGGAAAGAAGTGAGCCTAACTCCCCATTCAAAGGCTTTGAGACACAGCAACATTTATGACGAGAAAGTTCACCGTGGTGGTTTGAAACAACAAGAAATTGGAAAACATCCAAGTGCCTTCAGTGGGGATCCGTAACCTAAGCTGGGTGGTGGATCCCATGAAGCCTTTGAGAAGGGTGAGGTGGAGGGATAGTGTATCTGCAAGGAAAGATCTCATGCCATATGAAGTGAAATAAAAAAAAAAAACAAAACACGTTTTCAATCTCATTTTAATTTTAAAAATAACAACCCACTAAACAGTGTTTCCCGGGTACGTGGGTGGCTCAGTTAAGAGTCTGACTCTTGATTTCAACTCAGGTCGTGATCGTGAGACTGAGCCCCACATCCGGCTCCACACTACAGCAGGGAGCCTTCTTGGGATTCTCAGTCTCCCTCTCTCTCTCTGCCCCTTTCCTGCTCGCTTGCACATGCACTTTCTCCCTCAAAATGAATAAATACACTTAGAAACAAATAAAGTGCTTTCCTACGGGATGCAGCCCATTAAGTAGGTTGTGAAATGATTGTAGTGTCACAAATTAGTCGAACCATATGAAGTCACCTGTATTTGACCATTTTGACTACGAAGTTGTCTGTTTCATGTGGTTCAACCTAGCAGCATTAGCAAAGATGCGGAATGAACAGATTAGACGGTATCACTGCCTTTGCCTTCCGTGAAGTAAAGGAAAGTAATGTTTTTTTTAATTTTTTTTAATGTCTATTTATTTTTGAGAGAGAGCGTGAGTGGGGAAGGAGCAGAGAGAGAGGGAGACACAGAATCCGAAGCAGGCTCCAGGCTCTGAGCTGTCAGCACAGAGCCCCACGCAGGGCTTGAACTCACCAACTGCGAGATCATGACCTGAGCCGAAGTCGGACGTCTACCAACGGAGCCACCCGGGCGCCCCAAGGTAAGTCATGTTTGTTGAAAAATCAGATATCTATATGTACGTGTGTGCGTCTTACTCAGAGTCCCAGTCATGAAAATCACTGTTTGAAAATCACTGCAATGCAACTGCTAACTCGAGTGGGTGTTTTTTTGGGGGGGTGGGGGTTGGTATTTTTATTTAATTTATTTTTTAAAATTTACATCCAAGTTAGTGAGCATATAGTGCAACAGTGATTTCAGGAGTAAGATTCCTTAATGCCCCTGACCCATTCCCCCCCCCCCCCCCCCCACAACCCCTCCAGCAACCCTCTGTTTGTTCTCCATATTTAAGAGTCTCTAATGTTTTGTCCCCCTCCCTGTTTTTATATTATTTTTGTTTCCCTTCCCTTATGCTCATCTGTTTTGTCTCTTAAAGTCTTCATAGGAGTGAAGTCATATAATATTTGTTTTTCTCTAATTTCACTTAGCATAATACCCTCCAGTTCCATCCATGTAGTTGCAAATGGCAAGATTTCATTCTTTTTGATTGCTGAGTAATACTCTATTGCATATATATATACCACATCTTCTTTATCCATTCATCCATGGATGGACATTTGGGCTCTTTCCATACTTTGGCTGTTGTCGATCGTGCTGCTATGAACATGGGGGTACACGTGTCCCTTCGAAACAGCACACCTGTATCCCTTGGATAAATACTTAGCAGTGCCATTGCTGGGTCGTAGGGTAGTTCTATTTTTAGTTTTTCGAGGAACCTCCACACTGTTTTCCAGAGGGCTGCACCAGTTCACCTTCCCATGGAGTGGGTTTGAAAGAAACTTAAAATGATTACCTTAAGCACGTCTGGATTGCTTCACTTTACTACCGCCACTAGTACTGAAATCCTTGTTTAAATGTCAGGATGGAAGTCCTGCCCTGTCCAAACTGGTCTAGCTTCCCAGGGGCCACAGGGTAGGATTACAATCAATATCAATTAAGTAAAAGAAAAACAACAACAACGACCTGGGAAGGAAGTAACTGTGTTTAAGTTTCAGATAACAATTGTCTGGAGCTACAAATCTGGAGTGGAGGGTGGGGAGGAGAAGTTGGGGGCTTTTAAAGACACGTGGAAGGGTCTAGCAGGTGACAGGCAGTATTTTCATTTGCCTCACTGAAAGGAGGAAAGGGTGCTCTTAAGGAAGTGAAATCTTTAGGGAATACCTTTGGAAGAAAACTGGGAAAGATCTATAGAGCTGTAGTTATATATAGCTATGAATATATATATTCACGAGAAAGAATCATGGGATTGAAATACCAAATCTTGGCAGCTGTGAAACCTGCTTTTGAAGGGAGAGTTTCTGAGGCTAAGCTAAGTAAGTGGATTCTAAGTTGAGGATAGAATTATGGATGCCTTTTAAAAAGACGTGTGCTATATAAAAGTATGCATATTAAAAAGGCATGTATGTTTACCCAATGTCTGGGGAGGAAATTTTGGCACTATAATTTTAATTTTACGAGGTATAGCTTTTTTTAGAAGTAATCGCTATACCTCACATGGGGCTCGAACTCATGACCCAGAGATCAGGCGTCACATGCTCTCCTGACTGAGCCAGCCAGGTGCCCCTTAAGAGGTATAGCCTTTTTTATTCATCTGTACCTTTCACGTATCACCTTTATAATCATAAAAGGAAAGTAACAAAACTCTTTATTTTGGAACAACAGCAAGCAGGGGAAAAGACCCCGCTTTAATTAAATCGCTGGTCATTAAGCATTAGCAAGACTATACCTAAGTATTTTATTGATTTGTGTATATAAGTATTTATTTTTAAGCTTACTGTAGATAATTTTTTAATTTCTTTTCCGTTTCATTTATTTTATTTTTAAGTTTATTTATTTTTGAGAGAGAGACAGAGAAAGACAGGCAGAGAGGAGGGCAGGGACAGAGGGCCCAAAGCGGGCTCTGTGCTGACGGCAGAAAGCCCAATGTGGGGCTCAGTCCCATGACCCTGGGATCATGACCTGAGCCAAAACCAAGAGTTGGTCGCCCACCTGACTGAGCCACCCA